TTCTAGCTTTTTAAGGAAGTGCTATACTGTTTTCCTAGTGGTTGCACCATTTTACATTCCCATCAGCAGTGTGTGAGAGTTCCAATCTCCTCGTACCTCACCAGCAATTGGTGTTTTCTGTTTTTTAGATCAGTGCCATTATCGCTCGCATGAGATGTATCTCACTGTAGTTTTGATTTACGTCTCTCTAATGGCTAAAGATAGCAGACATCTCTTCATGTGTTTGTTGCCCATCTGAATATCTTCTTTGGTGACGTGTCTGTTCATGACCTCTACTCATTTTTTTTTCTTTTTACTATTGTGCTTTAAGTGAAAGTCTACAATTCAAGTTATTCTCTCATACAAAAATTTATACATACATTGTTTTGTGACCCTACTTGCTCTCCCTATACTGTGACAGCATACTCTTCTTTTCCACCCTGGATTTCCTGTGTCCATTCAACCAACTCCTGACCCTCTCTAGCTTCTCATCTCGCCTCCAGACGAGAGCTGCTCATATAATCTCATGTATCTGCTTGAACTAAGAAGCACACTCTTCACGAGTATCATTCTGTGTCCCATAGTCCAGTCTAATCTTTGTCTGAAGAGTTGGCCTCAGGCATGGTTTTAGTTTTGGGCTAACAGCAAGCCCAGGGGCCAGGTCTTCCAGGGTCCCTCCAGTCTCAATCAAACCATTAAGTTTGGTCTTTTCACTAGAATTTGAGTACTGCACCCCACTTTTCTCCTCTCTACCCATTTTTCAATTGGATTGTTTGTCTTTTTGTTGTTGAGGTGTTGAATGTTTCGATGACTTTTACAGATTAATCCCTTGTCGGATATGTCATTGCCGAAATTTTTTTCCTAGTCTGTAGGTTCTCTTTTTAATCTTTTGGAGGAGTCTTTTGATGTGCATAAGTGTTTAATTTTTAGGAGGTCTCAGTTGTCTAGTTCATCTTCTGCTGTTTGCGCATTTTTAGTTATGTTTGATAGTCTATTTATGCCATAAATTGGGGCCCCTAGGTTTGCCTCTATTTTTTTCTTCCATGATCTTTACAGTTTTAGGTTTTACATTTAGGTCTTTGATACATCTTGAGTTAGTTTTTGTATATGGTATTAGGTATAGACCTTGTTTCATTTTTCTACAAAGGGATATCCAGTTTTTCCAGCACCATTTCTTAAGAAACTATCTCTTCCCCGTTTGATGGATTTTGATATTTTTTCAAAGATTAACTGTCCATAAGTGGATGGCTTTACTTCTGGGTTCTCAATTCGGTTCCACTAGTCCTGTGTATCTGTCATTGTACCAGTACCAGGCTGCTTTGATCACCTTGGCTTTATAGTAGGTTCTGAGATTGGGAAGTATGAGGCCTACTATTTTGATTCTTCTTCTTCAGTAATGCTTTGCTTATTTAGGGCCTCTTTCCTTTCCATAAAGTTGGTGATTAGCTTTTCCATCTCTTTAAAGAATGTGGCGGGAGCATGGATAGGGACTGCATTGTATCTATGGATCGCTTTGGGTAGTATTGATAGTTTTACAATGTTAAGTCTTCCTATCCATAAGGATGGTATGCTCTTCCATTTATGTAGGACTCTTGGTTTCTTGCAATAGTGTTTTGTAGTTTTCTTTGTATAGGTCTTTTAGGTCCCTAGTTAGATTTATTCCAAAGTATTCTATCTTTTTAGGGGCTATTATAAATGGTATTGTTTTCCTAATTTGCTTTTTGAAGTTCTCTTTGTTAGTGCAGAGAAATCCAACTGAAAAATCTCACTTCTTTTTGAAGTCAAACCTGCATATTATTCTTGTCATTTCTCTCTGTCTCACCCCACAGCCAGTCAATCATCAAATTCTGCTAATTTTAGCTTCTAAATATTTTATTCCTCAGATTTCCCCACCATAAGCCACCATCTGACTTCAGGCTGCCATCTAAACTTCCTGCCTAGATTATTGTATCACCTTGACCCACATTCTGTCAACCTTTCCTACACATAAAACCTGATAATGCAGTTCCCTTGCTCAAAACCCTTCAATGACCCCCCATTGCCTGTCCCTTTCCCTTCCACATATATTTACCAAGTCCCTACTATGTGCCAGACACTGTCATGGAACCTTCAGATGAAACAAGCTCCTTAATAAGACCCACAAGGGGCTCCTTAGTGTGGTCCTTGCATCTTCCCTCATCTGCTAGTCACACCTCAGTTCTTCAGTCTATTGATCTGATCTGCTCTGTGTTCTGTGAACTCATCATCCTGTCTCTGGCCTCTGTGTCTTGTCTAGAATGCCTTTCCTTGCATCATCCCACCCTATGGGTCTTTAAAACTCTAGGAGCCACTTCTATGGAAGCTTTCTTTAACCCTCCACATCCCCTCCTCCACTACTTGGGTGCCCCTGCTCTGAATGTCCATAAAGCCCTGTGCACACTTACACCACTGTACTTCTCATACTCTATGATTGTTTTCCATTCTGAGTCAGTTTCTTCAACTCAAACTTTAATCTCATTAAAGATAGGGTCTTACCCATCTTGGTATTCCCCATGCCTAACCCAGTACCTGACACCCAGTAAGCGCACAGTGAACGTCTGCTAAGTGAATTACAAATAAGTAAAGCAGACTGAGAGATGAAACAGACTCTTCTACTTTCAAAACATTTTAGATTAAAACTGACATTAGGTATACGGATACGCTCAGTTTATGCAAATCACATTTCTCCCATATGATGCAGCTCCAGAGAATGCTGGCATCCAACGGCATTGTTTGTCATTGCTACAACCTCTTCTAACCAGGAATTCCCATGAGGATGGCCTGGACTATCCAGCTTTCTTCCTTGATCAATTCGTTTATAAGACTGTCAGACCATAAAAAGTATTTCATAGCTTAACACAACCCTGAAGGAGTGGCCATTAGCAACCAGGCACATGAGCCATGACTCAAACCATAACACAAACATCTCTGTGTAGCAGGTGTGTAAGTGAGAAGACAAAAAACAAAAACACAAGAAACTCAGCATTACAATGAAAATCCTTAAAAAGAAAAGTGCTATAAATGGTGCTGGTCTGAAGGCAAATGATCCAAAGGTGGCCCAAAGGATGGCTGTATGTGGAGAAAAAAATGTAAGAAATTTCCACAGCAAGCTCTGTTATTGTGGAGCTTTGTGCAATTTTCTGGCTCTCCTTGGTCTAAGGTTTGAAATGTTCCCATCTCAACAGAATTTACCAGAAGAGCTAGAATAAGTGCCAAAGATATACTAATAAACACTATATGGGGGATCTCAGAGGGAAACATCTTTAATTAATTTGGAAAATCTTTATAGACGAGATGGTGTTTGAGAGGGGGTGGAAGGGCATATTACATTAAGACAGGTAGAAATAGTGGGCAGCAAGAGGGAGGACAACTGAGCGGAGAAAATTTCATTCACCAGGACAGTATAATGATAAGGAGAAATTATTTCCTTAATGGGCTGGTGTAAGAGGCCCTCTTTGTTGAGATGCTTTGATATGTACCATAGGGGAAAATATCTGAGTTTTCAGGGCCTAGTGCCGAGTAGAACTACTTTGCATTCGGCAAGAAGAAGGATTTGCTTGTTATTCCAGAGAGGAAAGAAAAGAAAGTAAAAAAAAAAGTGGAGTAAGCACTGGAAAACAAGGTGGTTTTTCAATTAAATGAAAACCAGCTGAGGAGAATAACTGGCAGCCACGCCTAGAGAACAAGATATAAGAATGTTTCTTTGTTGTTTCAGATAACTCCAACCATATCTCATAGTCTTTTTTGGTTTGTTTCCTTGTCAAGTTAACCTGTTTTGTATTGCTTTGTTTTTAATTTACTAAAACCTCATCACATCATCATCATCATTATCAACAACAACAGTCATCCCTCAGCCCCCAAGTGTAATGTTGCTGAAAATGGATACTGGTCCCCTCTTACTTGCCTTGATGACATGGCCCTATGGAAAAAAATCTAGGTTGTCCATATTGTTGATGGATGGCCCAGTGTACTTAGAACACTGGTCCTAAAAACTGGAAATTCAGCAAGTGGCTGTGTGAGAGACCTGCTTATTCAGTTAAAAATCAGTTTGAAGGAAGTCTTATCAAAGCCAAACCCTTGTCTACATAAAATATGGTGCCTCTGAGTTCAGGTTTTATAGGCTAAGTGCTGCATAAATGCAATAAAAACTTATGATACTGTTTTCCTTGCAATAAATATCCACTTTAGCAAATTGGACGGTAGAAGGAAACTGGATTCCAGAAAGTATAAATATCTATAACCCAGAACTGTGCAAACCCCGTGCAGGCTCAGGTTCAGCGACCCTAGACTAGCCTGTTAGCAGTTGGCTGTGAGACCCCAGGCTTCTCTGGAGGTTTTCACCAAAAGAGGCTGGCTGGGCTGTCTGCACAAGGAGAAGGGCCAAAGCCAATTCACAGCTGGAGGTCCATGTCCTCCATTCCCTTTGCATCTTTGCTTAAAATGATCACCCGAAATACTGATGGGTTTACAGAGGCTCAATAGAACAGCCTGGAAGAGTAAAACCTGTTTGCTTTCTTAACACAAAAATAAAATAGAGTCATCTTCAAAATGAGATTCGTGGCACTGAGAGTGAGCCCTTGGGATTCCACTCACAAGATCAGACGTCCTCCCTGGCAAAGGAAGGATGACCACATGTGGGGATGGTAGAGGTGCTGAACTGTCACCACAGGGAAGGTTAATGACTCCTGTGTGTGTGTGCACAAAACACACACCCTCTGTCATACACACACACCTCTCTCGCACACATACAATAGGAATTGTCTTCATCCAGAAAGATGGTGACAAAAAATGTTAGCCTGTCTATAATCTGGGAGAAGTAGCGAAGGATGGGTAGGTCACTAGGTAGAGGTGACTGTATTATAATATCTTATGCTTGGCAGAAAAGCAATAAAAATGTGTTATTCAGGCACGATTGGTTTTAAAGAAGGGGGGGTTCCTTAAAAACACAGAGGGGGTCTTTGATGCAAAAGGAAGCCAAGCAGTGGGCAGCATGGGTTCCTTACCTCCTCTCCCACCTCGATGTCCCGCACTGCATGCAGTAAGAGGTGGGGTCCATTGAACACAATCGAACAGTTGGGGTCACAGCTGTGGTTGAGCAAGGACATACTAAGGGGAAGAAAAAAAGAAGAGGGAGACCATTATGGCTGAGCAGATAGAGCTCAAACAGCTACATTTAATGAACACTACAGGCAAAAGAAACTTGAGCTTGTGGGAAGAGTAAGGTGGACATGGCCTCAGTGATGGAGTGCTCTGTGGCATTCACAGAAAGGCGACCAGCCCACCTCACATGAAGTAAAATGCTGTCCACGATGGAGACTAATGAGGAATGTTTGTTAATAGAACATTTTCTGAGCCTTTTTCCAAGGTAGAGGTGAGGAGGCAACTGTCTCATTAGAAACCACCCACTAAGGCAACCTAACATGAAGATGGGAAAAAAACTGACCGACAATGAAATAATATCTGAGCCAATTGAATGTAGCAGTAATCACTGTATCCAAGATACCACTGACCTTTCGCACACAGGATCTCATTTGTTGAGCTCCTTTGGAGGAACTGTCACCTCTGCTGTGGATATTCTATATCTATATTCCATATTCTATATCCACAACTAGACTGAAAAATGATTAGGACTACCTCCATAAAACAGAATGCTGAGGTTATCTTCCTAACTAGTTCCTGATGCATTCTGGGCCTTGGTCTAGTAATATGATTACCCTGGAGGTGCATTTTTACCATCTGGGAAATGGGCTGAACTTAAGTCGCCGCCATAAATTGATAATAAATTATAATAATTTAAGTGAGCACTTTGTTAGCACATAAGCATGTATTATCAAATTTAATCATCACAACAATCTTACAAGGATCATTTATAGATAAAGAATCTGATACATTGAAGTTAAATGACTTGTCCACGGACATACAACTAGTAAGTGTTGACTGAGTTTGAATCAGGTGGTCTTAACTCAGAACTTATCTCTGAACCACTAGTTACTGCTTTTTGAGAACCACTACAAATAGCCTATGGTACTTTTGAGAAATAATAAAAGAAACTAAATTCTTAGATTCACAATTAATTATAAGAAAGAGTATGTTTATATTTGAACTCCAAAACAAACAAACACGTTACCACTAAGTCGATTCTGACTCATAGTGACCCTATAGGACAGAGGAGAACTGCCCCATAGGGTTTCCAATCTTTATGGAAACAGACTGCCACATCTTTTTCCTGCAGAGCTGCTGGTGGGTTCAAACTGCTGACCTGTTGGGCAGCAGCCGAGCATGCAACCACTGCGCCATTAGTGCTCCTTCATTTGGACCGTAATGGCATAAAAACAAAATGAAAGTGGGAATGACTCTGTAGTGCTTCTGGCAGGGCAGTCTAGTAGCTCCGTCACCAAAGTTCACTTCAGCGATAGCTGGAGATGGCACTTCAGAAGGCCAAGCCCTCAAGCTTTCCTTGCCTCCTGGAGCAACGGGGCTCAGAGTACACGAACCCAACAGACGAGACGAACCCACTGGGACAGTCCAGCAAGTACAATGAAATAATCATGTGCTTCAGCCCTGGAGGTGGGGGAATAAGATCAGGGCAGTGGCGGGGTGACTAAATCTTAGCCTGATTGTTTATTAGCACCCACAATCCTTGACTTCTTACCCTAAAGTGCCCCTGAGAACTAGAATTTAGGTCTGAGATCTGTCTCTGTTACTACCACAGCACAAAATGTGGGGTTATAAAATTGCTTAAACTTAGCATTTTCTATTTTCTTGTAATTTATCATTAAGCATCAAGCTTGGACCTTGAACCAGCTGCTGCAATAGCTGTTCTAACTACCGCCAAAAGGCTGGGGAGCTAGGTGGGAACTAAAGTGGTTCCTTCCAGTAAATGAAATACCGTTTACCATACCTAGGATATAGGCCAACACCAACTTCCTGCATCTCTGCATTACAGATGGTGAAAGAGTTACAGATCACCTGTAAAAACAAGGGAGAGACAATCAGGATTACCAGCGGCACTTAAGAAACCTCATAGGCAAGAGAATGAAAATTTTCAAAATAAAACGTAGGAGACTTTTAGTAGTTGCTTTGGAAAGATCCAAATGAAACAGGGATGCTCTTTCATTTGCAAAAAAACCTATCTGGGATACACTCTCCTTAAGAGCAACAGTTGGTTAAGTGCAGAAATACCAACATCCTATAATAAAAACACAGGATTAAACCAGTACTGGGCCTATTAATTTCAGTCTAATCCCCCACAAAAGTTACACAGTTACATGAAACGTTCAAAATGCAGAACACACATAAGCTGTTTATTGAGAACTAGACTCCTACCATATCAGATTTTTCACTCAAACTGCCTGCAGTTTCCAAATGCTGCTGTGTATCTGAGGAGTAACAGCAGCCTGCCTTTTATTACTATAAAGAGTGAAGTACACCCAGAGTGGGTCTGGGATTAAAAAACGACAGCCACAATGAGCACAGGACGGCATTCAGTCAACCTCGAGTTTACTAGGCACACGGAACCTCGCACACAGCACGGTTCTAGCCCCCATCACTGAGTTCAAGGAACTTAAAACCTCATTTGCAGGATAAGGCAAATGTATGAGGGTGGTAAGAGCATTGGACCTGGAATCAGAAATCCTTCGTCCTGGTCACACATCACTGCCTGATACAGGTGTTGGGGAGACAGCAGTGTACCTTCATGGAGCATATATTCTAGTGAGGAAGACTGATGAAAAACTCAATGATAGATAAATTGTCAGAAGGGATGAATAAGGAGGAAAATAAAGTGTAGTAACAGAGGGAAAGACTGCAGGGAAAATGGTAGTCAGGAAATCCTCTAGGATGAAGTAACATTTAAGGAGAGACCTGAAGGAATTAACATGTACACATCTAGGCAATGAGAGATCATGTCAGGAAAAAGAGCAAGTGCAAAGGCCCTGAGGTAGGAATGTGCTTGATGTAGGTGTAGAGTAACAGCAAGGAGGCTCCTGTGACTAAAGCAGATTATGTAAAAAGAAGAAAGGTGGAATCTGAGATCAGAGAGGTAGCTAGATCATTCAGGGCCTTATGGCCATATGAAGGACCTTGGATTTTATTCTGAATGGGACAGAACGCCATTAAGGGATTCTGAGCCAAGGAATGAAGGCATCTGGTATCTGTTTTTATACGATCACTTTGGGTGTTGTGCCAAGAATGCGCTGTAAAAGGGCAAGGGTGGAAGGAGAGAAACCAAGCAGGAGGGTGCAGCAACAGCCCAGATGAAAGATGATAGTGACTGGGATGTTGGTAGCAGTAGATGGGGCAGATGGGGTTGGTACTGCCAACAGGATTTACTAATGGTTTGTTTACGGGGAATAAAAAGAGTTAAGGAGAATGCTAGAGTTTTTGGCTTGAGCAAGTGGAAGATTATAGTCTTGGAAGATTATAAATGTGACCGTGAAAAGAACAGATTTGGTTGCAGAGCTGGGAAGTCTAATAGTTCTGTTTTAGTTACATTTGAAATGGTCTATTAGATACCCAAGCTAAGACTAAGAGTGAGCAACTGGGGTTCAGCGGAGCAGTTAGGGCTAAGTATATAAATTTAGGATGAAACAGAGCAAAGCTCATCCAAAAGAAAGTCGAAGAGGAGACCATAGGGCTTGTGATGAACTAGTGACTACAAATGGATGCTGGTCATTTTATAGAGTTTCTGTAAAGGAAAAAGCAGTGACAATGAATTTCTCTAAATCAGGTTGATATGAAAGTACATAAAGTATGAAAAAGCATTCAGTCCTTTGAGACTCTTCCACTGCTCCAAAAAGCTTTTATATGAAATTGAGTGCAAACTATGATTTGGCATTTTTCCTCTAAAAGTCTGATAACACTGCAGTTTCAAATCAGGAAATAAACCGATGCACACACACACATTTTAAACACATACTAGTTAAATGGTTAAAAGGGCATCTGTTTTGCATTAAGCTGCAACAGTATACTGCCTATATATATTTGAAAGTATAAAATGGATGGTAAAAATACAGAACAAAAAAGCCAGTGTTCTTTTTTTTAGAAACTTCAAACATTTTTAAATGGGCATGAATTTTTTTGGGGGGATAGATATGAATTTTAACATATATTAAGGTATATTTAGGACTTTATCAGAAGTAAATAACCAACAAAAAACCAGTCCAAACAGAACTAATTTGCTAACTTTTGAATCAAACCAAAATTAAACATTAATTTTTTTCTGAACTATGAATCAAATTAAAGGTTTTTCCAAAATAGATTTATTCTGGTGGAATTTTAAAAAGGAACAGCTAACAAGAGAAACGTCAACATACCTATCTCCTTCTCCAGGAAACAT